CCTTCACGGTGGTAGACGGCATTGTGATATTTCCCAATAGGTTTGCCGCCTGGGGTTGGAACGTAGTCCTCATCCTGTCACAAGAATTAGTGCATGTCGGGATGATTGTGATGTGCGATGCAACCTCTAGTGTGGGAAACTCAAGTGATGGCCGCGGAAGGCACATCACCTTGTCATTGCACTGCCGGTCATAGTCGTCCTGGAAAAGCATTAGAAATTCAACGTCGAGATGCAAGAGGCGTGGTTTCTACCAAGGAGTGCGCTGCATCATAAAAAGCTGCCTCGTCTCTAGTCGCTTCTTTACGGGCATCGGCTGCGGATAGCGATGGGTTGGACGATTGGTAGGCAGATGTTCTGGCACGGGATTAGCTACGGCGACAAGAAAAGATCAGACTCTGGCGAATGGCAGGCAAGCAAAGGCGTGCAATTTCTCAGCAAATAGCAGGAGAGGGAGTGCATCCAAGCATCGAGACATGGATCAGGGTCAGGCCCTGCCGAGCAATAGCTTAAGTGTCCTAGCAGGATTGTCTAGCGCGACAATGGAGACATTTTACCTGCATTTTAGTGACAGCCAACAGGCGCGTCGAAAAGCCGAGGCGCGATCGCCAGTCGGACGAAGCCATGTGTTGGGAGGGATGTGAAGGGAGATGAGTATCACGCAGCAGAAGGGAGATGGTGGTAGTATTAAGTAGTAGTGGTAGCAGTACTAGTTGTTGTTGTTGTTGTTGTTGTTGTTGTTGTCGTAGTAGTAGTGGTAGTAGAAATTGTACGAGTAATAGTACAGTATTAGTAGTGGTGGTGGCAGGCACGAGATGGGCCGAACAAGGGCATCAATGGTACCCAACTGTGTGCTGCTGGGACCCGCAGAAATAGAGCGGTGTAGGCAGCGCAGCCTTGATTGCGAGTGAGTATACAGCCAGCCATGGTGCCGCACATGAGTGTCAGGATGAATACAAGGCGTCTCGTCGTATGGTCGGCGGAAGGGCCGGCCGTGCTGGAGCTGGGGTGTGTGCATGTGTGCGCGTGGGTGAATGAATCGTTTCCAAGGTTACGTCAGAGCCCCGGCGCAACCGCGGCCTTGGGCGACTAGGCCCAAAGCGCAGAGTCCCAAGCCACCACGGCCAGCGCAGTCGTAGCCACATCCGCTCTCACGACACTTTGACAAGCTGCGACGGCTTGGAGTACATGTAAACTCGGCTGCTCCGCTGCTTCCCGGCTGCGCGCCTGTGCCCCCTCCTCGACGCCATGGAGCTCCAACGCAAAGAATACCCAGCATTGCTGGTAAGAGCACTCCCCCCAAGGCCCGTCAGGCCCTTAGCATCCGCTCACTCGATCCCCAGACATCGCTCTCTCCCGCGCAAGCCGTAGCGGTACTCGACAGTCGCATCAAGCATGTAGGCCAATTGAACACGCACATTGCCGACTGGCTGCAGGTGGGTTAGGCCCCGGCTACCCGCACACGACTCACGACTCACCACAAGCCCAGGAACGCCGTCGCGTGGAAGAGCAGTATGTCCAAGGCCTGCGCAAGCTCGCAAACAGACACCCTCCCGACGACTCGTCAGACCTCGGGTACGCTTCCCCCACCATCCGCACCTCTGCGCATGAATTGACCGTCAGACAGCATCTTTGCGACCCCATGGGAGAAGATCGTCATCGCGACCGAGAATGTCGCCCACTCCCACGCCCACCTTGCCGCCAAGATCGAGGCTGACGTCGAGCGACCCCTCCGCGACTTCACCAGCACCAACCGCGAAATCCAGGCCATGGCCAACATCCAGGGCAACCTCGCCGCCATTGCCAAGGACATTGACTCGGCCCAGAAGAAGCAGGCTAAACTTCGTGATAAGGGATCAAAGGCCAAAGCTTCTGCCGTTGCCGACGCCGTGCAGGACATTGAAAAGGCCGAGTTGCAGTGGGACTCGCAGGCGCCCTACGTTTTCGAACAGCTACAGGCCATTGACGAAACCCGGCTGAACCACCTCCGCGATGTTCTTACCCAGTTCCAGACGCACGAGGTGGACCAGGTCGAGCGCAGCAGGTCTTCGGCTGAGGAGACCCTCAATGCCATGCTCAACATTGAGACCGCCGACGAGATTCAAATGTGGGCGTTGAGGATGCGCAGCGGTGATGCCCGTCCCCCTTCGCGGAAACCGAGTAATACCCCAACGCCAGCAAGGAGCTTGGCACCACCTGCTTTGCCATCCTCCCCTACTGGAGCAGACGACAACAGGAGCCAGAAGAGCGCATCGGCGCAAGACAAACAAAGCTCAAACCCTCTGAAGCGAATCGGTACAGTTCTGGGCCGACGGAGACAGAGCACGCACCCATACGGACGCGCGGCATCACCAGACCGGAAATCATCAGCAAACATTGGTTCGGCTTTTAGTGGATTTGGCAAGGGGAAATCAAAGGACCGCGACAACCAGATCCCTACTTTGCCTCCAATGGCCGAACGTCCAACATCACCGTTGAGGAACTCTCAGCGACCCAGCACTTCCCAAGAATCGGATACTCCAAACCTCACCCAACAAGCCAGTTCCGAGCCCGCTCCCAACGGCACCGCACCCAAGTCATCCGAGGCAGAGAAGGAGACAGAAGCCCCCAATGCTGTCAATGGAACGTCATCTGTACAAGAGCCGATACCGGAGCTCAATGAGCCTGTACCAGCATCTACCACCACGGAAACACATACAGAACCAGGGAAAGACGCCGAAGGTTATTCTGTACCACCATCGGCTCTTGATGCCATCACAGAAGCAGAAAGGGAGGCCGGGTTGTAAGTACAGCATACACCTGAAACCCTTACAGAGCTGACAAAGTCCAGTGTGCAAAGCGAAGGAAACCCACCTCCTCAATTTAAGCTCGATATTAGAAACGCCCCAATCCAAGAAGAGGATGGTGATGCTGATGCGGCTACCGCGAACCTCGTCAACACGCTGCGTGCAGTAAGTACTTCTGGATGTCAAACCGACCAGCACTAACTTTAGAGCAGCAAGCCGCACAACCCAAGCGATCAAGCACACTGCGAGGGCGACGAGATGTCCGCAACACGATTTTTGTTCCTAGTCCGGCAACACCAGAACTTCAAAGCATAGGTGAAATGCCACCACTTTCAGGCGGTGATTCCGCCCCAGCTTCTGGGCCTACCTCTGCAACCTTTGCTCCTCCTCTTCCGCCACAACAGCCTTCGTCTCCAGCATTCAAACCTCCGCATCGCTCGTTGTTGTCGGATGACCATGCCCACTCAGATACTCAGTCTATCCGATCGGGCCGATCGCTAAGTAGCTCCGCTAGCACCACGGTAAAGCATCCGGACCTGCATGAACCAGGGCTCAATGCGTCACTAGTGGAGACTGTCAGCGCTTGGTTTGAGCAGGGTAATGTCACCAAGGCTATGGTAATCGGGCAGGTTGCGCTTGCATACAATCCTATTGATATTTCGGCCGGTCCATTCGGCACAGAGAGTATACGACTAGACAACTTTTCTGTGCTTGAAAAGGTAGCGCCCAACCCTGCCTTCATAGAGCAGGCACCAGATAACCCAGGAAACTACACTGTGGACCTGTCAAAGATTACAAAGACTTCCGTAGCCTTCCACTACCAACTCCACATCGAAGACGGCAACATTGCCTCTCTGCCCCCAATCATACTCCACCCAGTATGGAAACCAGAACCCACGCAAATGTCCGTCCTCCTCACCTACTCGCTCAACCCTAAATTCGAGCTCGGCTCCGCAACAAGCATCACCGTCCGCAACCTCGTCCTCGTCATCCGCCTCGAGCCCGGCTCAAAAACCACCGCCTGCCAATCCAAACCCACCGGCACCTTCTCCCGCGACAAAGCCCTCATCTACTGGCGCCTCGGCGACGTAACCCTCTCCAAAGACGCAGCCGCAAACGCCGTCCGCGCCCGCTTCTTCACCGACGGCCAGGCGAACGCGGGCAACACCGAGGCCCGCTGGGAAATCAGTGACGAGCAGTGTCTGGCCATGGGCAGCGGTCTCAATGTCAGTATGAGTCAGAGTGTGTCGCCCAAGAAGGATGATGTCGAGGACGATCCGTTTGCGGATGCTGATGAGAGCGAGAATGTGCCCGCTAGTCCGGTGGTCGAGTGGAAACCTGTGAGCGCGGTTAAGAAGATTATGAGTGGAACTTATTTGGGGGTTTGAAGAGGTGTAGTAGAGTGGAAGGGGATAGAGAGGGGTAAAGGGGTAAAGGGGTGGTTAATTGAAGTAATCAGAGGGATACAGATGGTGGGTTGACACGAGGAGTGAGATAGAGAGAGTGTGTGCACATTGTTCTGTTGATAGAGCTGATGCGCTTGAGTCTTTTTTTTGTTTCTTGGGGGTTTTTTCATAGCGTAACGTTTAACCGGACTTGAGAGGTCTGTCATATGTGTGTATTTACTCTCCTTTGCTCTTTTGTACTTTGTTGTTTCTTTTGTTCGATTCCCCCTTTTTTTGACTTCGATGTGTATAGATTTTCTAGGTGGAATTGAGATTGACAATATTATAGATGCGGAAGTTGAGTCTTTTCACTTATGTTGCATTGTGTTTGTTGCAAGAGAAGGTTCGTATTGTAAGTTTCCAAGATTATTTGGATTCGAACTTGTTACATGTTACTTTGCTATGCTTTGAAACTAACTGTGTACTCCTCTTCGAGTCTACACCAATCTCTCCTTTGAAGTTTGGAAAAAAGGGTGAGAAGAACAAGTGAGGGATTAGATTGAGATATCCCAGAGAAGCCAGAAATAATGTCATTGGCAATACAGGGATCAAAAGGTCTTGTACCTACCACGTATTTAAAAGATTCACGTTGCAATCAGCATATAGTTCTCCGCATGCATTCGAAGTTCTCGGTATCTCAGGATCACCACCCTAGTCGCATATGGGCTCCGGCGGAAGACAGGCAAAAAGGGATCCAGAATCTCTTTGCAGTAGGGGGTATTCGGGCACTGCATATAGACATCACTTACTACGCTGCTGTAGAAAAGAAAGAGTTGAATTAATACATAGATTCCATGATATCCTATCGGAGGTTATGAGTATAACTTACATTTTGGAATGAAGAAGAAGAAGCTCCGTATATCAGACGCCCGGGTTGCGTTTTTCCGAGCAAAAATAACGCCTCTAACACCATGTGCTGTGTGAACTTGGTCAGACACTCAGTCTAGTCGTCTGATGTCTCGTCTCAGACCGCGATCATTCGATACTCTTAGCAAGCGCCCATAAGCTGTCAAGCTTGGCGCGGCCAAGTGTCTCGCGAGCTTCACCAGCGGTCTCGCATACCCTTGAGCCCCATTTTCGGAAAGATCGCTCCTTGATCTCACCCTCGAAGATGAGCGTACACTTGTTGGACGAGTGGTCCTTTATATCCCCAGTGTCGGTGAGCGGTCTCAGCCATTGCGGATCCGAGGCTTGCTTCTCCATCTGGTTCTCTGTGGGTGGTCCATTCTCGTGCCACTTAATACGCTGGAGCATGAGCTTCTTGTACTTGTTGATTGCATACGCGCCTCCTTCAACTACAACCAGATTCAGGTCGGGATTGAACAGTGTAATTCCAGTGAGGGTATGTTCCTTGGCGTTGCTGTCGATCTGGAAGCGGTGCTTGCCATACGCCAGAGTATTGATTTTGAAGACACACATATATAGTCCCTTTTGTGCATCCTTTTCTTGGTTCGCAGCAAGCTTTGCTTGTTTTTCTTCTTTGGTCAACTTGCGCTCTTCGTTTGCTGTAACATGATCATCATGACGCTGCTGGATCTGTGATTCGACAAGCATCTCAACAGCCGTGGGATCCGCAATGGCCTGCTCTCCCATGACACGCATCATGTTACCGCGCTTGACCTTTGGTGGTGGTGGCGGTTCAAGACCAAGACGAATTTTAGCCTGGTGTTCTTTGAGGTCTGCAGCACGGCGCATCCTGCGTAGCTTCTGTGTTTCTTTGGTGGTAAGATACATGGGCTTAACTTGGACCAAGCGCTGATCTTGGGGCGCTTTAAGTAGCGGCGGATGCTGGACATATAGTGTTATGATGGAATCATCGGTGTCAACCTTGACTTTGGACGGGTCGTCGATGCAATCGTAGTTGGGCTCGACTAGGATACCCTCGTCCCACCATTCAATATCCGGAGGGGGCTGAACCAGGAATCCGCGTTCGCTATTTTCATCAAGACCAGCGCGGCGGGCTTGGATGGCGAGCGTCTTTTTAATCTCCTCGAGTCGCCGTTGTGCGCGTAGCTTCGAGGCCTGGTCGAGGTACTTTCCATGTTCGTTGAACGAGAGGACACGGGGGCCCCTCTTCTTGGCAAGGGCAGCAGTCTTGGGGTCAAAGTAGGGGTTCTCCAGCTCTTCGTCTTGCGGTTGTTTTTGGCTCATCATAGCGGCCTTGGGTTTCGCATCGACCTTGGGCGTTTCCGAGCGACGGTTGCCCAGGGTTGTCGCAAAGCGTGGGCCTGTGGAATCGGGGGCGGGGGGCTTGGCTGCTGCTGAGCCCGCCTTCAGCGCCTCCATCCTCGCCTTCATGGCTGCCAGTTTGTCCTGAACCGCGTCGCTTGCCCCAGCCGCCGGCGGTGGGGGGGTTGGAGAGGCAGCGGGCTTCGCGAATCGGGCTGCAATTTCAGCGGCCTTTGCTTTGGCTCTAGCCTTTGCAGCTTCGACAGCATCTGATGGTTTCGGGCGCTTCACATCGCTATTCGGGCCCTGCCCCTCGGGATAGGGGCGCTTCTCAGCCATGGTCATGGTGGGTAGTCGTGTGTGTCTGTGTATGGATGCGGAGTTTCGGGGGAGAGATTCTGTCTGGGAGGCGCAAGGCAGCCGCTGAGTCACTCGTCAGCCCGCTCGAAGCCGGTGAATTGGCCTGCTGGATTGGCGCGAAGAAGCACAAGGGGGTGCCTCGAGATGGGTGTTGAGTGGTAATGGTGATGGAAATGGTAGAAGCCAGTGGCTGCGGAGTGACGCGAAATGCACGCTGCGGCCTGGCTAGGTGTCTTGGCGTGCATGACCGCTAAACCCTGGGCGAACTTTTCTGGTCCCGAAAAAACTCCCCGCAAGTTTCGCGCTGCTGCGAACATCACTACCACCGCCTTTGCGCGCGCATTGCTTCGAATACAGGCGCTGCGGGCACTGAGGCGACGCCATGAATACCCATCAGCCAACTTCCTCGGCCATTAATGGCATCGAGTTTGGCTTTCTTACTACAAAAGATGTCAAGTCGCTCTCGGTGAAGCGCATCACCAACCCAACCACATTCGATTCGTTGCTTCACCCAGTGCCAGGTGGTCTGCACGATGCAGCACTCGGTGCTTTCCTCGACAATCCGTGAGCTTCATCCGGCAATTTAAGACCCCATTGTCTATGCTGACAGTCTCCAAGGTGCGGAACATGCGGTCTCACAAACTTCCTGGGTTGCCCTGGCCACTGCGGCCACATCGAACTCCCAGTACCTGTATACCACCTCACATTCATTGACCAGTTACTGCGACTGCTCCGAGGCAAGTGCGCATACTGCCATCAGCTCAAGTTCGCTCGAGTGCAGGTCAACGAGTTTGTCTCCAAGCTGCGCCTGATAAGATGCGGATTGGTACAAGAGGCAAATGACATGCACGAGCACATCAACCTTGAGAAGGGCAAGTCAAGCAAACGGACCGCCGACGATTCCGAAGATGAAGACAACGACCACGATGACATCATCTCACAGCGAAACAGCTATGTAAAGAAGTGCATGAAGCGAGCGGGCATCTCAAAGCATGATGCTAGGTCGGTGCGCGAAAAGAACGAAGCCATTTCCGACGCACGCCGACAGGTAGTCAAGGAATTCTACGCAGAGCTTGTCAAGCGCAGGACCTGTGGCAACTGCCAGGGCATTAGTCCTACGTACCGTAAAGACCGGGGCATCAAAATTTTCCGAAAGGCGCTTAGCCAGAAAGACAAGACCAAGATGGCCCAGGCGGAGAAGCGCATTCAAAATCCCCTCGATATTCTGGCCCGTCGAGACGCAAAGGCAAAGAAGCAGCATGTACATGCGGATGAGGGTGTGGCGGACCTAGATCCCGCCTCCGAAGAAGATGAGGACATCGACATGGAGGACATACAACAAACCGATGGCTCGCTCGTCGCCACAGAGGCACGCATGGCCCGGAAAGCGAAGACGGACGATACTTTGGAAGCCGCGCAAGAGTATGTGAACTCGACCGAAGTCAAGGCAGCCATGACTCTGCTCTTCGAAAGCGAGTCGGAGATGATGCGACTGCTTTACAGCCCATACGGATCAAAGTCCCTGGTGGATGTGAGCGCCGACATGTTCTTCACCCAAGCCATCATTGTCCCTCCCAACAAGTTCAGGCCTGAAGACAAGACGGGCGACTCCATTGCTGAGTCGTCCAAGAATAAGCTCTACAAGGGCATTCTAGAGGCTTGCGAAAGCATTCGTCAGATCAGCCAGGAGATGCAGGGCAAGCCCAATGAGCTAGGTTTCAGACAACGAAACTTTGATGACATGCAGACTCAGTTCGTGAACTTACAGGGCGCTGTAAACGCCCTCATCGATCGCGATGCCAACCCCGTACAAGGCCGTGGTGCGGTGACTAACGCCGATGGTATCAAACAAGGCCTCGAGAAGAAGGAAGGTCTTTTCCGGAAGAACATGATGGGCAAGCGTGTCAACTTTGCTGCACGAAGTGTCATTTCACCCGATCCGAACATCGAAACCAACGAGATTGGTGTCCCCCCAGTATTTGCGGTTAAGCTCACTTACCCTGAGCCGGTTACCAATCACAACTTTTACGACCTCAAGGAAGCAGTGCTCAATGGTCCAGACAAGTGGCCTGGAGCGCACGCCATTGAGAACGAATTCGGACAAATCATTTCGCTGAAGAAGAAGAATTACGAAGAGCGATTAGCCTTGGCCAACCAGCTACTCGCCCCATCCAATTCCTACTCTAACGGTGCCAAGAACAAGAAAGTACATCGCCATCTCAATAACGGTGATGTGGTGATTATGAATCGACAACCGACGCTGCACAAGCCCTCTATGATGGCGCACAGAGCACGTGTCTTGCCAGGAGAGAAGACAATTCGCATGCACTACGCTAATTGTAACACCTACAATGCCGACTTTGACGGTGATGAGATGAATATGCATTTCCCGCAGAATGAGCTTGCTCGCGCGGAGGCCATGACCATCGCGGACACTGATCACCAGTATTTGTCTGCAACCGCTGGAAAACCCTTGCGAGGTCTGATTCAAGATCATATTTCCATGGGAGTTTGGCTGTCCAACAAAGACACCTTCTTTACGAGAGACCAATACCACCAGCTACTCTACTCTTGTTTGCGGCCAGAGGACGGCCACACGACCTCGGGCAGGCTTGAGACTGTTGCGCCAGCTATCCTGAAGCCTCGACCAATGTGGACGGGTAAACAGATCATCACAACCGTCTTAAAGAACATCAAACCCGCAGAATACCAGAATCTTACACTTTCATCCAAGTCATCCACAAACGGCAAACTGTGGGGTGCACACTCCGAAGAGCAGTTCGTTATAGTCAAGGATGGCGCGCTTTTGACTGGCATCATGGACAAGGGCCAGATTGGACCTGCTGCTGGTGGTCTGATCAACGGCATCTATGAGGCATATGGCGAGACCATAGCTGGAAGGGCCTTGAGTATCATTGGACGGTTACTTACCAAGATGCTACACATGCGTGCATTCTCTTGTGGTGTTGAGGATCTTATCCTTACCGGACAAGGAGAGGAAGCAAGATTAGTAGAGCTCCGAAAAGCAGAAAAGATTGGATTCGAAGTAGCGTCCAAGTATGTTACTTTGAACGCCGAAAAGATCGACCCTACCAACCCAGAGCTACGGCGGCGACTTGAAGCAGTTTTGCGAGATGACACCAAGCAACACGGTCTCGATCTTCTCACGAACACTGCAAACAGCAAGATCTCTTCGGCAGTCACTGCGGCCGTTCTTCCTGACAAGCTCATCAAGGCGTTCCCCAAGAATCAAATGCAGGCCATGACAGGCTCTGGTGCCAAGGGTAGCATGGTCAACGCAAACCAGATTTCGTGCAATCTTGGCCAGCAAGTTCTTGAAGGCCGAAGAGTTCCCGTCATGATCAGTGGTAAAACGCTGCCGTGCTTCAAGCCCTTTGAAACCAGCGTCCGTGCTGGTGGTTACATTGTCAACCGTTTCTTGACTGGTGTCCGACCACAAGAGTACTATTTCCATATGATGGCTGGTCGAGAAGGTCTTATTGATACCGCTGTCAAGACTTCGCGTTCTGGTTACCTGCAACGATGTATCATCAAGGGTATGGAAGGCCTTCGCGTTGAATACGACACCTCGGTCCGCGATTCAGATGGCTCCATGGTTCAGTTCCTCTACGGAGAGGATGGACTCGATACGACAAAACAGAAATATCTCAACGACTTCAAGTTCCAGGCTCAGAACTTCTACTCTTTGGCTCAAGCCCTTCATACTGCAGAGGCCTACCCTCGTGTCTCCAGTGCTGAGGCTGCTGAGCATAACAAGAAGGCTACGAAGAAGGCGAAGAAGGGCGATATTGCAGCCATGGACCCCGTCACCGCAGTTTACACTCCCTCACGGCACAGCGGTAGTACTTCGGAAACATTTTTGCAGGCTAAGCGCGAGTACTGCGATAAAAACCCCGACAAGTTGCTCAAGAACAAGAAGAAGGATGAAGAAGGCGAGATTCTTAAGCGTACCTTTGAGCAGATGCTCGACCTCAAATACCTCCGATCGCTGGTTGAGCCTGGTGAGGCTGTTGGTGTTGTGGCTGGCCAGTCGATTGGTGAGCCTTCAACACAGATGACGCTGAACACTTTCCATTTGGCTGGTCACTCTGCAAAGAACGTCACTCTTGGTATCCCTCGTCTACGAGAAATCGTGATGACGGCTAGTGCGAACATCTCCACACCTTCAATGCAACTATATCCCCACTCTGAACTGTCAAAAGAGGATTGCGAAAAGTTTGCAAAGAGCATCACGCGTCTACCGCTTTCCGCTGTGCTTGACAAGGTCACCGTGACAGAGACTTTGGGCGCGGGTACGCAGTTCAGTCAGGCGAGAACCTACAAGATTCGTTTAGATTTCTACCCTGCAAAGGAGTACACCAAGGAGTATGCTATCAAGGTCCGTGACGTTGCCGAATCGATTGAGCAGAAATTCTGCCCTCGACTGCAGAAGATGGTTCGCGCCGATCTGAAGAAGAAGACCGCAAACAAGTCGCTCTCTACAGCAAGCTCAGCTAGTATTCCTACCATTGGCGAGAAGACTGGTAGGAGTGATGAGGCAACAGTTGAGGAATCTGAAGAAACTCTTCAGGCTGATCGAGAAGGCGGTGCTGAAGACGAAGACAGCGATGATGGCGAAGGCGACAATGACAACACCCATGCCAAGGATCGAGGCAGGCGTGAGGACAGTGTAGCTTATGAAGAGCCAGAGGAGGAAGAGCAAGCTGCCAATGCCAGACTCGACCGAGAAGACGAGATCAGCGAGGACGACGAGACATATGGCGGCAGCCCCAAGCCATCGCGCGCCACCACTCCCGATGCCGACTCAGACGACGAAGATGAGGAGATGATTGTTCCTACCGACGAGGCCTCGGACATTCGCCGTGACCGCATTTGCACCAAGAATGCTGATATTTTTGAATTTACTTTCGACGACCGCAAGGGCGCTTTCTGTGAGATTAGTTTTGAGTTCTCAGCTTCCACGGCGAAGCTTCTCATGCTTCACCACGTCGAGGATGCGGCCAACTTTTCCACCATCCATGTCATTCCTGGCATCACGGCCGCGCAGTTCTCGGCCCAATCGAAGGATGTCCCGGAGAATGTCATCAACACGGAGGGTTCCAATCTCATCGCCATGCGCGAATACGCTCACATCATCGACGTAAACCGCACCATGACCAACGACATTGTGGCCATGCTACATCTGTACGGTGTCGAAGCCGCACGTGCTACTATTGTGCGCGAAATGCACGCCGTCTTCTCTGGTCACGGTATCAGCGTCGACCAGCGCCATCTCAATCTCATTGCTGACACCATGACCAAGGGTGGAGGTTTCTCGCCTTTCAACCGCATCGGCATGAAGGGCAACGTGAGTCCGTTCATGAAGATGAGTTTCGAAACCACTGTCGGTTTCCTCAAGGATGCCGTCCTCGAGCATGACTGGGACGAGCTGAAGAATCCGAGTGCCAGGATTGTTGTCGGCAGACTGAGCACAGTTGGTACAGGTGCTTTTGACGTCCTTGCCCCTGTCAGGGTTCGCGACCCACTCAAGCAGGCAGTCGCAGAGGTCAACGATGTTCTCAACGGCGACGTGCGACAGAAGCGTGATTCAGACTCTGAAAGCGAGGATGAAGAAGAAGAGGAGGAGGATGAGGATGAGGATGAGGGTGGCGTGGAAGTGCAAATGCAGGATGTTGAAATGCAAGATGTGGATGAGGTCGAGGAGGAGGTTGTTCAGGAGGACCCCAAGAAGGAAAAGAAGAAGAAGAGTAAGAAGCACTAGTCACGGCCTGTAGGTGTTGATCTTTGCTGTATGTATGTTATTTGCCATGAGGTGTTTTTTTGTGCCATTTGAGGGTTAGCATAGGTTTTTGGCGTTTAATATTCCAAAAAAGGATGGTGGTGTAATGTTCCATCTAGTGAGTTTCGCACTTGCACAGTATCATAGATGGCGAAGAATAAAATAGCTTTCAACATTGCATGCTCCCCCTCCACTCTGGACTCGTGATGGATTTGGAACGCGTGTTACTTGGGGACAGCTCATCTCAAGACTTGTTGGACAGAAATGAAACGTGCATCAGGAGAGATAGTAGTGTATAGTTTACTTCATCCTACTACTAACTAAGAACAAAGTCATCAAATCCACAATCGAACTAACCCACCAGTCAAAAAACCCACCCGATCCAACCCCAGCTCTCCTCCTATGTACACCAAGCATCTCGTCTACACACGCACAAGCCTTCCACCACTAATCGGCACCTACACCGTCTCCCCGCACCCCCAATGGCGCGACATCCCTCCTCGACCCATAAGGCTGACTTGTTGGAAACCCCCCCCCCCCCCACATCAATGACGAACCCACCTCACTCCAGCCGCTTTCACGTCTTCCCCCGTACCCAACAAAGACTCGATCGAGTGATTATCGAGGCTATTCGGGGGACATCTCACTGCGCACATCGCTGCGTAGCAGTCAAAAGGAATTCCTCATAGCACATGTATATGTAAAGTACAGTATTCTTCAGCTGATACGCCCCCCCCCCTTTTGCTCAAATACACTGTATCCTGTCGAACAAAAATGAAAACAGACAATTGGGGGGCCTACGTTATCAACCCACGCATACTTCGTTACGCCCTACGCCCCTAGTATCAGAAAGAAGGCACAAACAAAACAGCCAGCCGTGATCGGAGCGTCCTCCTCGAGCTTGCGAGCACCGCATGTAGTCTGACGTTCCAGGCCAACCCCCCAAAATGCGGGGTAATAGGAAAAGTTGCATATGTACTGTGTGGATATAGTATCGGGCTGACAGGCGTCTCTGCGTTCGTTTTCCGCGAGTCAGCGAGAAAACGGGGGGAAGAGACGGGATTAGCGAGGTGAATAACGTTGGGGCATGGGAATGGGAAGGAGAGATCGAGCGATACTGTGTTGTTACTTTTTTTGGGCTAGGGGAAATGGGAGATAAGGTGGAGGCAGAGAGTTGGTTTGGTTGAGGGGGGATGGAGGGAGCTAGTGGGATGAGGGAAGTGGTATGACGATGAGTGGAACTTGGATAGTAGAGTGATTGTTGTAGTGGTTAACTTGTGAGTTTTGGAAACTGTTGTTAGGTGCACGAAGCGTTGTGTGGTCTAGATTTCTTCCTTTTTTCTTTTCTTTTCGTCTAGAAAGTAGTTCATATGTTGTGAACCAGAATGTCGTTTAATGGTATAGTAGTACCCGAGTTTCGGATTCGTATCCTTACGTTTGGGAGTTGGGTTGGGATTACCCAGGGACGGACGACCCGCGCGGGTTTGGCAGGTTGGTTCGTTACGAACCAGGTCCTCAACAAATCGAGCGAGTTTGAGCGATCGTTCCCAAAATGCCGAAGCCCAGTTTGTTCGTTCGCGCTTCGCTTACGTAGCCTTGTTGTCTTGGCTATATACACCTAGAATTAATAACCCACTTTTGCATGACCGCATGAAAGCAGACTATTTTTTTCTTCGGTCGCATAGAGTAAGAGAGAAGGCAAAGTGGCGTGGACATGGGTGGGTGCGACCGTAGCGCCAGATCCTTCCCGACATACCGCTCTGCATGCGAGGGAAAAGCTGATTGTCGAGGCATCTCGGTGATGGAAAGGCTGGCTTGCCGCGGTTCGTTGGGCTGACTTGCTCGGCAGCAGCTGAATGTGGATATCCCGATTTTTGCTCTCTTGTTGGTAGTCAAAAGTCATGTGATATAGGCAGTGCATAGAAACACAGCACAGCACAGCACAGCACAAGAGATAGGGAACAGAGATAGAGAAAGGGCCGAAGACAATTGGCCCTTTTGGCCTCTAATCCCAGATCCGAGTCGCAGTAGTTGAAAGATGCATGGGGCTGGAATAGGTAGGTGCCAATTATTCGCACGTCTTTTCGCAATGGGCAGTTAGGCCTCGACCCGGCATTCCCCCCTCTGACCCACGAGCCGAGATCCTACTACTTACTCCCCAAGAAAACTACACTTGTATGTAAAATAGGAGGGACTCCACTTTCACATGCAATCATGTTGCCTGTTGCCCTTTCCAATGGCTGGGCATAGGCCCTTGAATCGCAGACGCGGGAAACAAGGCAGCTCAACGATGTTCTCCACCAAATTGCAATGGCAGATGCACAGCGCCGTGGTGGCACTAAGTGCTGTACGGCCAGAGTACCCGTGGTGGCAACATATGACGGAGCAGGCGCCCGGATGCGAACAATGGCAAGGGGGTAGGCAGGCGCAAGGGAAGAAAACTGCGTGATAAGCCAAAGACCTTTCAATCATGTAAGGTGCGAGTTGCAAAGTAAGAGAAGATGAAGGAAGGCAAGGAAATGCTGCTTCTACTAATTTAGAACCGCATAGAGTTGCTATACCTGGTGTAAATCTCACGAGCAAGGGCAGGCAAGTACGCGTGGGGCCAGGGACATATGGGCCGACTTTTATCTGACGTCGCGTGCGGGTAGCCCGGCTGGGATTGGCCAGCGCGTTTTCGTTCGCCCTGTCTTTCACATGTCAAAAGGCGAGCAAGAGAGCCAGACAGACAGAGACAGAGCTCAAAGAATCCAGCCCCAAACACAACTTGCAGCGCTGCGACACGCAGCTCCTGAAAATGTTCAATTTGTGCAATGTCGCTTCGAACGTACAATTGGCCCCGGGATAAAAAGGGGATATGTAAGACCAACGGTGCAAGCAACAGGCTGCATCGGAGTTTCTTAACTTTGGGCCCTGTGTAACAGATGGCTTGCATTCGTCACTCTAACACTTACGCATACGCATCGGCACTTCTCTATCTTGCTCCTCTTTTCTCAACATTGCGCATGCGGATCCCGCGCCCACACAAAGAAGTGGCATCGAGCAATGGAGGGAAGGAAAAAAAAAACCGGGGCCATGAGAACACGGGCGTAGGGGGGATGCATTGGCCGTTGTTTTGGCATGCGCGTAGGCGTCAAGTTACAGTAGCGGATACGAAGGGGGACGTTGATAAAGAAGTGATTTGACGGATTGGTGGCTTCTATCGATAAGGGCACTTTCACATGCAATTGCACACCCGTACTCGTGCTCCCACCACATCCGCACACAAGCCACGCCGTTTTTAGCAAGGTCCCGCCAAACAAAGCTCAGTCACATCATAGTAGCGGCTGGGTCATTATAATAAGGCGAAGAGAAACCCCTTTGCAGGCTTTGCTTCACTTTATTTGTTCCTCTCTCCCTCTCTCTCCATTCCGTTCCCCCTCATTGCGGCTCAACAAGAACATAGCAAGCCCCCACCTTCACACCTCATCCTACACGGAAACCACTCCTCTCTCTCTCCTCCAGCCAATGGCACCACACGCAACTGACGACGGCAACATGGCAACCAACGGCGTTCCTCTCACCAACGGCGACGTGCCCACCTCCAGAGTCCTCTCGGTACGTCATACTATCCTCCCCCGTTGCGCCACCTTCCCACGCCACCACCCACACTAACACACCTCAGCACCTGAACTCGTACCCCGTCGTGCATGACAGCGTCGAAACATTCAAGACACATCCCTACGGCGAGCGCGCCCTCACCCTCGCCAGCAACACGTACAACAACGTCGTCGCGCCCCTGCACCCCTACCTGCGCACCCCTTACTCCTACATCTCGCCTTACCTCGCCCGCGCCGACCAGCTCGGCGACAGCGGCCTCTCGACCCTCGAGTCGCACCTCCCCATCGTCAAGGAAGACACACAGAAGCTCAAGCAGTATGCTTACTCGCCTGTCAACTATGTCCACGGCGCCTGGCAGGACGAGTACAACAAGACGCATTATAACAATGGCGTCTTGAAGATGGGTGTTGCCGCTGTTAGCTTTGAGCTGAGGATGATCAGCGATGCTTGTGATGTTGTGCTTGCTTACCTTAACAAGGGGAAGGAGCAGGCTAAGAAGAAGGCTGAGGAGGTTAAGCAGTAAGCTTTCTTGCGACAGAACTCGGGGAGGGCTAGTGAACTTGTACTTTTCCTGGCTATCTTCTTCTTCGTCTTTTTTTTTCTCTCGGATTTACACAAGTCTTTATGGGCTTGCGTGGTAGCTGGGCCTATTTCATGGGAAAAGCGAAAGCGTTTGATTTGGTTTTTATGTCGTTGGCGGAGACAGATGTTTGTTCGTCCATTTTACTGGAGCATATGTCCGTTTTGAGTGCAGGTAGATTGAGTAATAACTATGATATCCCTTTTTGAGAGACTAGAATAAGATGTCGAGGAAATGACATGGGTGCGATCGGTACTTCTGACATTTACCTTAATGCGATTCAAGCCTTGATCTGTCATCCCCATATGATAGCGTCAGTTTGCATTGAACTTTGGAAGCCAGTCACAGTACACATTCTCATTAGTTCAGCAGCATCGTAGCATCGCATCATCGTAGAACCGTTCGCTAGGGCAGTTGAAAAACGAAGAGGACATGGGAGTGGCACTACAACTATCCGCATCACCTAACGCACCACGTCAACACCCAACAACCAAAAAAAACAAGGCCAACGTGGAAACTCATGTGCATTTCATGAAGTTCGTGAATTGAGCCGGATGCCGGATTTTTCATGCTTTGATTATCAAGCCGATATACACGCCATGATGCCAGGCCGGATTTTGGGGTCCTGTCATCTTATGATATCCACCGACATGCTCATGCACAATCTTCCGTGCCAAATCATGCCCATCTGCGCCCAGCCGTGACCAAAAAGGGAAAGCTTAGAACTGTAAGGGAGTGAAGAACCATCGGTTCTTTCCGGACTGGTATCGCTCCTCGAATGCCTTCTTGACAGTCTTCTTGGCCTCCTCCCGTTGCGAGACCTCCTTGAATGTGTCGGCAGAGATGACGCCCTTGAGGTTCTCGAGCTCAATGGTGTAGCGGGTGGGCATGATGTGAGTGTCTGCTAGTGTTAGTGCCTGCTCCTCCGACCAGCCTCACATCCACATACAGTTGACCTGCTTGACGAAAGGCTTGACCTTGCTCTTCTTGGCCTGCTTGGTCTTTGACATGCGGCGGGTGACCTTGGATGGGTAGGTCTCGATACCGGCAACGAGGGCGTGGGGGAAGGGGTGCGACTTGGTGCCGTTGTCAAGGGGAGAAATGATCACACACTTCTTTCCGGCATAGCGGCCCCGGGTGATGATCTAGGCGGACTGTGAGTGAGTGCGATTGAGCGGGTTCGAGCGATTATAACGTACGACAACGCGTCCGACCTTGAGGCTAGAAATGGTATGTTAGCAGCTGTTCTGTCGCATATTGCAGATTTTCCCAGATGCAGGCATTGGCGCCCCGGACACCTGTAGACGAGCATCGCGGTGCGCCAATATGCATGCCGGGAGAAATCGTGCGTAGGATCGGGGAGGCACTCACAACTTCATTGTGGCTGTCGTCCGGGTTAGTGATGGGATACTTGGTCGTGGAGTTTGAGGTTGTCGTCAAAGCCAAAAAGCGCTGTGGGCGGTCTCGCTAGATCTTTTGGCCGGTGCCGCCACGCTAACCTGGCTAGCGGCGCTGCTGGTTGGCTGGCCCCACTCTTGCCTCTAGAAATCTCGCAGACCCGCCAAAAGTTTCGCGACGGCGACTCTGGACGACCTGGACACCGACGACAAGCACCATGAAGATCAAAGCCCTCAGCCGGTCGACGGCCTCGACACAGGCGCCTGGATCAAGTGTTTCCAAGGTCACCCGGAATCTCGATCCCAACCAGCACCCGTTCGAACGCGCACGAGAATATACAAGAGCTCTCAATGCGACAAAAGTCGAGCGCATGTTTGCGCAACCTTTTCTAGGCAGTTTCGAGCCCGGCCATGTCGATGGTGTATACTCTTTTGCAAAGGACCCGAACTCCCTCGAGCATTTCGCCAGTGGCAGTGGTGATGGCATTGTCAAAGTCTGGGATTTCACAAGCAGAGAGGAGAAATGGCAGGCACAAGCGCACGAGAACCTCGTCAAGGGCATGTGCTGGACGCAGGACAAGAGGCTGATAACTTGTGGTTCTGATCGTCAAATTCAAATGTTCGAACCTTATGCCCAGCCATCTAGGTCGCCGCCCAAAGCAACCTGGCACGGCAATTCAGCCTTTACATCCGTCACACACCATCGTGCATTGCCCACCTTTGCTGCCGGTTCTAGTGTCATTTCCATATACGATACATCGAGAACTTCTGGAGCTCCAGTATCAAGCCTCGTATGGCCATCGGTAAGTTCTGTCTTTTGACCAAATGTATGCCATGTACTAACTGCATAAAAGGCTATCGATACAATTACAGATGTGAAGTTCAATCAAGTCGAAACATCAATTCTAGCATCGTGCGCGACGGACAGAGCACTTATCCTATATGATGCACGCACAAATTCGCCTCTCCACCGCACTGTCCTTAATTTTGCGGCAAACTGCATTTCCTGGAACCCAATGGAAGCTTACAACTTTGCTGTTGCCTCGGAAGATCACAACGGATACATCTTCGACATGCGTAACATGAAGCGGGCTCTGCAAGTTCTGGTAGGTCCTTTGCTCAATTTGACCTTCATCAGAGAGCATTCACTGACACCAAACAGAAAGGACATGTGGCAGCAGTCATGTCGATTGAGTTCTCTCCCACTGGTGAGGAACTCATCACTGGCAGCTACGATAAGACTATCCGATTATGGGAGCGCCAAAAAGGCCATTCTCGCGATACTTATCATACAAAGCGGATGCAGCGCGTCTTCTCCGTGGCCTGGAGTCCCGACAACAACTACGTCCTCAGCGGATCTGATGACGGCAATGTTCGCTTATGGCGCGCAAGGGCATCCGAACGACGCGGCGTCAAGTCATTTGCCTTACGACAAAAACTTCAATATGAAGAAGCACTCATGGAGCGATACAAGCACATGCCAGAGATCAAGCGCATTCACAAGCATAGGCATCTTCCTAAGACAGTCAAGAAGGCTGGTGAGATCAAAAATGAGGAGCTCAAGTCTCTTAAGAGAAAGGAAGAAAATGAAAGGAGACATACGAAGAAGGGTGAGGTCAGGCGGAGGGCTGAGCGTGAAAAGATGATCCTAGCGCGAGAGCAATAAGGTATCGAGAAGGCAATCGTACTACACTTCCTGCATAGCGTTGGCGTTTTGGTATTTTGCACGAGACTCGGGAATTACATGATACCACACTGAGTGCATAAGGTATCTGAAAATAGATAAGAGTATATGGACAACAATGTTGAAATTTTCAACGTAATACTCAGATGCCTGTATCTAACGTAAATTTGAATACGAGATCGCGTCACCTAGGTATCCCGCTAAGGCACACCTATGCAGCTATGCGGCGATTGCAAACTTGTCGACAAGATCACGTTATGCCACTACTGCTCTTAAAAAGTATCACATCGTACAGGATCACCCGGTCACCAGCTTTGCTATCCTCGGCTTCTCAAAAATGGGAAGCGAAAACTCAAAATCACCATCTTGGTGGTTCTTCGACTTAGACGACACTCTCCATGAGTTCCGCAAAGCATCTTCCTCTACCGTCGACATAACACTACAACTTATCATCCAACAACAAAGCACCCAGCAGCCTACACCACAAGAAGACTCCGTCACATTCGCCGATCTAAAGGCAGCATACTCCAAAGTCCTCGAGGAAACCACATCCTCCGCATTCACAGACGGCAAAACAAGCCACGAGTACCGCGCTGAACGCTCCAAGCGCACACTGAATGCTCTCAATCTTTCTCCTACACCAGAGCAAACAACAGAGATACTCGCCATGTACGAAAAGACATTGATGCAGCATCTAATCCTAAAACCCGGTGCAATACCCTTACTCAAGTCGCTCAAGCAGCAAGGGAAACATGTAGCTATCGTTACTGAAGGACCCCAAGACGCCCAGCAACGGACTGTTGCTGCGTTAAGGCTAGAACCGCATTTTGATCACTTGATTACTACGAATGCGTTTGGAATGGCGAAGGTGGATGGGTTGTTTGAGAGGGCAATAGAGGTTTTGGGAGTTGAGGGGAGGGAGGTGGTTATGATGGGGGATAGTTGGGATCGAGATGCGGTGCCTGCGGGGAAAGTGGGGATAAGGTGTGTTTGGCATGCCGAGGGGAGTGGGGAGAAGGAGAGGATTGTTGAGTTTGGGGGGGAGGGGGAGGAGAGGGTGGTTGTTGTGGATTCGTTGGAGAAGTTGCGGGGGATGGTGGAGGGTGTGTAATGTGGTGAGAAAGAGAGCTGAGGAAGCAGTGATATGTTGAATACACTTCGATACTTTGTTGCGTGTAAGTTAGAAAATGAGATAGATTCGTGTAGGTTTAAAAGCGTGCCTGACTGTATTGTTACGATATCAGCATCGGAGTAGTGTTGCCCAACTGACTAGTAAAGGCTGACGACAATCTCGAACGTACATAAAGCTTGCAAAATCCCAGCATTTATGCTACTACAACTTTTCTTAACTTTTCTTCTTAAGAATACCTGTTGTGCCATGTGAAACGTGTGAGCAAATCGAGGTTGTTAAATCTCCTCTATTTCTCCCTTTTCCACTTATTCCACCTAAAACCTCGTATTTTTCAGACTTGGATACTCTTCTCCATTCTGAGCCTCCTGGATACCCGGTGCGTAAGTGGGAGAAGGGTGGCGGTCGAGGGGAGGTTGCGGAATGATTTGTATGCGGCCATGCGATATATCACACAAGACGCGGAGTGAGAATATACTACCAGTCACACTTCACTCTACATTTCAATTAACTGTAGTGAAGTAAGGATACGGGTAAGGGTATGGCTAGGACTAGTACTGCAAACGGATCGCAGGAGGACCGTGCAGCAAGAACAAGCGAAGTGCACGACGTGGAAATCAATTCCGGATAGCAACGTAACACAGCACAGATTCTTATTTGAGAATATTACAGAGGAACACTAAGCTTTGTCGAATACGAATTATTAATCTAAGACCTGCATACTAGCTCGCCACACACCCGGCTTTTGCACAAAAGCATGGCTTTAGTTACGGCACCCCGCTATGTCGGCGTGCAGTTTGCGTTCCTTCTTCAGCTCCCCGGGATAAGGATGCAGGTCACTACCTATGAACTTGTACACCGTCTGCGATTCATGCAGCTGAGCCAGGACAAGGACAAATAAGTGGTACGGTTAGGATTAACCGGAAAAGTGGTTAGTCGTCGGCATAGCTTGAGGAATGGTCCTCTTATCTCCTGCACCTGTCATGCTACCCTTTCTTTCTCCCCTGTGTTCCTTAACCTGGATTGCAGGTAGCCCTTACCACCCCCCATGATTCTCATTCCCATCATCGTCTGGCTGTTATGCGCCGTGCATGGGTCATGGACAGATTCGGATGACTTGAAGCAAGTCGTCTTGGAGTTGCATCCACTACTATCGAAGGATGCTGTTATCACGTTCCCTTGGGATGCGCGCTGGGACGATTTACAAATTCGCGGGTCTTCTCCACGCATCTCCCCAAATTACAATGTAGTCGTCGAAGTAGCAACCGAAGCCGATGTACAGACAATAATTTCCCTTGCTAATCGATTCAATGTCCCGTTCTTGGCTATCTCCGGTGGGCATGGGTGGACTACATCGCTGAATGAGCTGCCGTATGGCATTCAAATCAACATGAGAAAGCTCAATACCACGACACTCAGCCAGGATGGCAAGACGGCGATAGTTGGCGGTGGTACAAAGCAGTATGAGATAACCCGTTCTCTCTTCGCCTTGGGCAAATACGCTGGTAGGTATAATCCCGTGTCTTAAGGTTTTGGTCAAGTGGCTTGGTAAGCTAATCGTAAACTGCTGATAGTCACTGGACTTTCGAATTGTGTTTCAGTAGCAGGCCCATTATTAGGGGGCGGCCACAGCCTACTCCAAGGTCAGTATGGCTACTCTGTTGATGGCCTTGTTTCTGCACGAGTAGTTCTCGCCAATAGCGAAGTTATCGAAGCCTCTCGAACCCAGAATGCCGACCTATTCTGGGCACTGCAAGGTGCTGGTCACAACTTTGGCATCCTTACTAGCCTTGAAGTAAAGACCTACGATATCCCATCCGACTGGACAGTTTATACTCTGATATTCTCGTCGGAGAAACTTGAGGCATTGTTTAGTTTGATCAACGACTTTGAGGATCCAACAACCGAGCGTCCGGCAAAACTAGCACTAACCGGAGTGTTTATAAGACTTCCCGCTGTGGACCCAATCAACGTAGGTTATATTCTAATACCATGAAGATGACGTAGCTAACTGCTCCCAAGCCTGTCGTCTTATACACTGTCGCATATGAGGGCTCACAAGCACAGGCTGAGCCATATGCTGCACGTTTCATAGCTCTTGGCACTATCCTTACCAAGGTCGATACTGTCAACTATGTCGAACTATATACAGTGACTGGAAACAATCTCACCAGTCAAGCCTGTACACAGAATGAAAACGTTCTAGGAGCTGGAGTTTCATTGCCTGCTTGGGACATCCAGGGTGTTCGCAAAGCCTTTGAGATATTCGGAGAATACACAGCCGATCCCCGTTTCAACACTTCCATCACGCTTATGGAGAACTATGGAATGCAGGGAGTACGCGCTGTTGACCCTGAATCTACTGCTTTGGCGCCTGAGGAGCGCGAACTGCCCATCCTTGCGAGTGCAGTGATTTGGTGGGCTGGTGAAGACAAGGAAACAACAAAGGTTGCTGAGACTTATATACATGCGATGCGCGATGCTCTATACACGGGCGTCGACGCAGACAGTAGCAAGAAGCGACACTGCTACGTCAACTATGCAAGTGGAGACGAGTTAAAGCCCGAGGTGTATGGATACAATGCTAGACTTGAGAGGTTAGCTAAACTGAAGAGTGAGTGGGATCCAGAGAACAAATTCAAATACTACAACCCTATAGTGTAGATAGCACAATTATCCATTACGGAAGATCTTTTTATCACACAAAATACACACATCACTGAAGTCCAAAACATGCTGAATTTGCTATAACCCCCAAACTGGAGCCAGCGCCAAGAAAAAAATGACCCAAGGCTATCCAAGCCACTTCTCCACCGCAGCATTATCGGGATATGAAATGCTTCCTTCCTCCAAACCAGGAGCCCTTGGCTCAGGAGGCCAAATCCTCTCGCACTCCTCCAAGTGCTTCGCGATTGCATCCTCAGTCAGTTCTACTGGCCTCTGCATCGCCCCCTCCTCCGCCTCCTCTGCCTCCTCCGCTTCCTCCAAGGTCATTCCACTCTGTGGCTCAAAAGCCCTTGCAGCATAATGAAGCTGCGCCACCGAAGCCCTTTCGGCCCCCTCCGCCTCCACTCTCTTAAAGCCCCTCGTCGTCACCACCTCACTCTTCTCCCCAAAGCCCCTCGAAAACCTCTCCTCCCCCAACTTCCAAACCTCAACCTCACCCCCACCCAAACCCGCCTCAATCTCCTCCACATTATGCTTACTAGCAGTGACTGTCACCCCCTTCCACAACGCCTCCCTCGTCGTCCTCTCCCCGGAGACATCCTCCCCATTCATAAACAAACCCCCTTCATTACACGCCTGGCCCACACCAAGCCATTCCTTCTCCTCCAGCATAAACAGCCTCGCCAGCCGCTCGGGCTGCCGACACACAAAATGAAGCGAATGCACTGCCAGCAGCGCATCTCCTAGCACGCTCCAGACATCCGTCCATGTGGTGGTTAAAGAGGCGGATTTTGATACGTGAATGATGGCTTGGAGCGTCATCTTTTCGCCGTCGAGGAGCAGCGTTTCCCAGTCTGATGGGCCCCAGATGTGGAAGGGGGTTGGAGAGAGGGCGGAGAGCGCTGTGGCATGCGCTTCTTTTGATGTGAGGAGGTGGGGGAGAGAAGGAGATATGGCAGTTACGTCGAATTCTGCTTCGTTGAATTCGACGGTGGTGGTTGTGGGGAGGCTTTCAAGCCAGATTTGCTGCCTGAGCTCCTTGGGGAGCTTGGAGAAGAGGGTGAAAGAAGGCATGGTGATTATGATTATGATGATGATGATGATGATGATGATGATGATGATGATGATTCTAGCTTTTTTTGGCAGCTGGTGATGATGTGTGGCGAAGATGTTTACGACTGTCTAAGGAAGATAGGCAGAGACAGACTTCTATTTAAATGATTCTAGAGTCGGAGGTTGGAGGACCAAAGTTTGGATTGAGGGATTATTTTGTCTTCAAGGCAGCTATGTTGTTGCTAGGAGTTTTGTTGTAATCTCGCTTCAAATCTTTGGTCCAGCCTATTAGTGATAACCTGAGCGAAATTCTCTACATTGTATTCGTCTAGCTCTTGATACTAATTTTACATATTTGCTATTATAGAACACTGAATACTCATCAATTTGCTAGAAAGTGCTTCTTGAGGGTTTTTGAAGGTGAAAGTAATTGGAAGTGAGTTCACTGGTCAGCGATTATCTATTTTTATCTACATTGTACTACAACTACATCTTCAAAGTGACTAACACTACTTCAATAATCCAATTGTATCTTTTACATATCGATTCTCGCTCATTCGCTACATTCCTTTCGCCTCGACTACATAGCACGTATGAAAGCACAGTAGATATAAACGCCAATCTACAGGCATCACTATTGTATAATCGTCTGCCTATTACAAGATATCTATTTCAACGAAGAAAACAGTTGGTTAATATATGGCTCAATCGATATATGCCTCAAGAGACAGAACAAGATGGGTTGGTATCATATATGTTGCTATTCGTTCTTGCTGCTGATGTCACTATTTTACCTCATGTCTCCTGTCAGGCTGATTGTCACTTGTCTATACCAGATACATCGATTCAGTCATCAGTCTCCACCGACACGTGTAACACGTCTCTACAACCCACAAGAAAAAGACGCATTTGCAAAGCACTCTTGCAGAGCAATTGCAACGTTGCATTTGCCACACTATGCGTTCAATGCAACAACATGTGAAAGAAGCCCATCAAGAACAATAATCTTACCGTCCAATCTATTCTACCGTAATCCGAACCACGCTCAACCTTCCCCAAATCTTAAATACCCGCGCACGTGATTATCAGTTCGTCCGACGTTCAGTCCACTCTTCCACATCCCGTCCTGCGTCTCAAATCACCCGGCCACCCACCCCCAGCAACACAAACACAAGCCAACCTAATCCTAACAACAACCCTGTCCAACGTGCCGCTCCGCAAATGAAAGCAAGATCTGTGACAGAGGATTAAGACATCATCAAGACAGGGCAAGCAAACAAAAAAATTGACCGAAGGGAAAAAACGGGGACAGTCCAAATGCAGGTTCAACCACCTCGCTCACCGAAGAAGCACCCCCCCTTGCACACACACACACACACACACACACACCTCATCCCCTCCTCCACTCCTCCAATCCAATCCCACTACTCTCTTTTTTTTTCTTAAAAAAACAAACAAACAAACAAACTCGCCAAACAAAAAAAACTTAAACTTTCGTATATGTAAGGTATAAGTATGTAGGTATGTATGTAGGTATGTATGTATGTATGTATGTATGTGTGTGTGGCTAAAATGCAGGGTCGCAAACAAAAAACCCATTCAAGGATAGTTAACCTGTACATGTAAGTACACATGGCAATACCGAGACTTGTTCATTTTGGAAAGCATGCAGAGCCGGCCCGCGAACGCACGTCAATTACTCGGCAGATTTTTTTCTTTTGCGTGTAAGTAGTGTAGGAAAAATGTAAGAAACTTGACAAGGCCCAAGGTTAAGGGTAATTAGCAGCGAAGGGGGGGAAAGGGTGCACCCCGCTTGCTTCCGTTTTGGCACCTAATTTACCCTTTGTTCTCTTTCTCTCTCTCTCTCTGTTCATTGGCATTGGCACACGAGTTCCGTCATTCGTTTAAATCGCGGTTGTGTGATTTTGCGACGACCAGTGTTTCAGGTGCATCATGTGTTCGCAGACAGATTGCAGTTTTCTTGGTTTGAGGGGGGGGACAGAGAGGGCTGATGCGGACAATCGGAAACGAAACGGCTTGGCGCTTGTTCTCTTCCCTATCCCCCCCGTACATTGAGTACATAGTTCGCTTTTTACCCCGATCTTGTTCGTATCCCAAAGCAACAATGGCGCACGTGAATGTTTCAGGGTTTGAATTCAGACTTTATTGTCTACCTGTCATTAATCTCAATCTTTTTTCCCTTTCTCCTCCCCTCCCCCCCACAAGCCGAATATTACTAGCTTATTTGATTCGGAGTGGGGAAAACAATGGGACAGAAACTTTTTTCCTTCTTCTTTTGCTTCTCATTTTCTTCCACGCGGAAAAAGCCGGCTTAATTCGATGACCCATCAATGTCACATAATACGAGTTGCGAGAAACGTAAGAATGGGAGAGTGGCACTGCGTAGTAAAGCCGAGGATATTTTTTCCCGAGAGCGAAAGAGACCCCGCAAAAGCCCCCCATGCTATGCAAATCCATACGTATTGTACCACATGTACGAACGTTCCGTGATGTTGATGCTTTTTAATATCCACAACGTCATATGTCTGGTATCCATCGAGGGAGACGCACCGGGTCCGATACACGAGAGAAGCACGTCTAACTTGCTAGTAGTTGTAAGTCGAACCAAGCGCCAGTATCGATGGTTCACCCTTCTCAATAAGCACCGCGTCGGATGCGGGGGATTGCAAGCGCAAGGACGTAATTAGTGACACTGGGATGTGGGCATCCAGTTCGTTCAAGCTGATGCGATGGTTTGGCTAGGGGGCAACATGGCGTGTGCGTGTACCATGGTTCGCAGGATGCGAACGGCAGCCACTCAAGACGACTACACGGACAGCAACTTCGCATCACAAAAGACGCTAGTTTTACCGTTAACCGCGCACACGTACCAGGCGCGACTGGTCTCGGCCCGCAATGCATGCAGAGATTTTCGTGATAGATCAGCCCATTTTCCCAACCCCCCCCAGCCCACACTGGGATGGCTAGTCGAGCGCTTTTGGTGCTCGGTATGTATCTTCGGATGGTTGGAGAAGCCGGGCGATGTTTTGCGTGCGGACCACGGTTGACGCGTGGCTAGTAGTCCTTAGGGATGTTGCTTACACGCAGGGTGGGCCTGAGCGTCATGATTTGTTCAATCTGGTGTCTAGTCCGATAGGATAGCCATTGGCTACAAAACCTACCAGAACTATCTCGGCAGGAGCCTGTTATTGCTTGCCCTCGAATACGCAGGTAAGACCGACCACGCCTGGGCTATGATCAAAGTAGGCTAAAAAGCTCCCATCAGGAAAAAAAGTGGATGCTCTACGAGGCAGAGTTTCGGGCTAAGCGCCTCAAGATGCCATAACATTTATTGTGCTCAGATGGATCGTCCCGAGCGCACGTATGTAAAGCGATGGCCGCGATTTAGCCAGCCGCCCATACCACTTTGTCGGATAAAAACATTGACGTTCCGAGTCAAGCGAATTCCAAAAAGCATGCTATACGGCACCATGTCATTAAGCTATGGCATGATTACGGTTCGCCGTGCAAAGGTCACTTGGCAGCCGGCGCAGAAAGCGTCCTGGGATGAGTTCATGAGCAAAGGAATTAATTGCCTGATGGGGTAGAGTTGGCTATGTGATGCTGGGTCGTGCCAATATGCTTAGAGCAATTTTTTTCATAACCGCGATTCGAATTGAGACATGTACATACATGTCTACGGGCTGATCTGGATGGTTGAGAGGTTGCAAATAGAGACGGCGGCAGGCTAAATGCACTGTCGAACCCAAAAGCAGTCTATGCACGATTGCGCTTAGACGGCATGTTCTTAGAACAGCAGTATCGTCTGATATAGGGCATCTCGAAGAAGCTACATGACAAATATGGAGAATTGCGTCAGCCACAATTAGCACAGTGGGAGGAGGCGCAATCGAAGTGACATAGCCCCAAGCTGCAGCACGCCCTGTAGCTGGGGCGGGACGCCAAGGCGATGCATGTAAAGCATGTAAAGCACGTCGGGCGGATCATGCAAAGGCTTGGTGACAAGCGGCTCTGCTGCTGGTGCTGCTGCGAGATGGCCGCATGCTTTTTTGGCAGCCGTTATAATGCTGCGTGTAGACCGAGGCCGACGTTGCCGGACCAGTTTGTCACGACGCAAGGGAGAGGCGCAGCGGGCTAGTGCTGGAGCCGTGGTCAATGACTATTGAAGGTTTAAGTAGAGCACTCTACACCTAGAGTAGTAGATTTGCGCGAACAATGAATGAGTTGGAAAAAAAACCAAAGCCGAGAAGAGCGGTGAAGGGGTTGGCAGTAGGGCGGGAAGCAGCTCGAGCGAACAATGAACCCCTCACCTGGGAATTGTCTATTTGTTGAACTTTGTTGAGGCCGTCGAAGAGCAGGTGGAGTGGACGCGAGCAGTATGCGAGACCGGTGAAGCCGAGAGCCGACCAATCACGCGGTCGTGTCGCACCCCACGAGCTGCACGGCGCCGTCGTGGCTAGCCTGCTCCGTCCACTTCCCGATAACGGCTCTACTGGGCTTCCTGACGTGGCCGGTGGTGATTGGCAGCCCCGACGCCTATCTGAACAGTCGAGCGAGCATGTGCCGCTGATCCAACTGCCTCTCAAAGGCATCGTTGCGTGCCAGAGAGAAAATGCCATTCATTCCATGTATAGTACTTACATGTCCATGCCGGCTGCTCCACGCCCGCGCTCGACTCGTGCGCCGTAGAGCGCGGACGCGAGGGGGTCGGTGCGACTGCATGCGAATACGCTGTAGCGGGCGTCTTCCATCGGGTCCGCTATTGGCGTGCTGGTTGGAGGACGTCGAGGGCGGAGGGGGCGTCGCCTTAGCTGCCACCACGCAGGGTTCCCTTACATCACACGCATATGCAGGCGCGGCTCGCTGCATATGAGCTCTGGCCCGTCAAAGTCCAAGTGGCTGCATCGCGGGATTGCCTCACGCTGCAGGAACGTTGGTGCGGGATAGAGCAGAGACAGAGGTGATCAGAGATGGCGGCAGTGAGAGCTTAGTCGACTATCTGTCTTTGCCTTGAGCTCCTCGTCGCTGGCTCTGCCGTCTCTCCAGGCGGCGCAGGCGAGAGTGGACTGCGGCCGTGGCAAAGACCAATTCGGGGTGAGTATGCGACATCCGAGCCCAGATTACGCTTTAATTATTGCCAGTTGGACAGGAATGGACACAGACCCCACTGCACGAGAACGCGATGCTCTCGATGACCAAAGGCTGATACATTCCTACAGCACACAAGGCGCCCGTGCCATGAACCCTGTTCCGAGAGTATTGGAAAATAGAAGCTTCGTCATGTGCTGAGGCGATGCAGTGGCCTGACTCGGACCCCGTCTCCCATCGGTCAACTGCTGTATCTATTCTGGCCAGCTGGTGGTGGAGGTGGAGGGACTGCAAGTAGTAGCAAGTAGCAAGTGCCAGGTAGGAGGTAGACACGGCCGCCCGCCTTTCTCCACGATCCGCTCCCTCCCACATCGCGCCGGCTGCGCTGCACTGCACGTTTATTTCCACCGGTGCATATCTGCTACACGCCCTAGCCCACGAGGCCGCCGTGTGACTGCGATCATTAAAGGTCATCGTCCACACCTCTCTTCGACCGCAAGTCTTTGTGTACACAGTGATACAGCCCGGGTCGCTTGAGCGCTTCGTCATACCTCTTGCCTCTAGTGCCCCTCACACACTGCCAACCGTACTACGCTACTGTAGTCAAGTTCCTGGAATTGTCTGTTCCCCTCCAGCCCCCGGCCTTGGTTAGCATCAAGTAATGATGCCATCGGTTCCCCGGTCACGTTTGTCTGATGATGCCACCAGTCGTGGTACGGCGTGGGCCAGCATGTTGCTCTCGACCAAACTTTGGAGCGCATGCTCGAGCATCACGTCGACACAGTGTTGACTGTAAGTAATGGCACGGCTGTCCTCTAGTATGATGTTGCAGCTAGCCACGACACGGATGCGAACTCTTGGTTTGGCGCCTGAGGCGATAAGCTGGGCTGAGGAGGTGCCAACTGTCAAGTGTGAGTGCATGGCCGTGGCCTGTTTGTTCCAGAGGTCGAGGCTGGCACCGTTCGCATGGTTGGAGCAGGGATAGAGGCGGACTCTCCCGTGCGCCGTGCTACGAGTCCCGTGATGCACCGGGATGTAAAAGCCCTTGCTCGTCTTTTTTGAACATTGTGGCCATGGTGGCGCCTCGTCCGTATTGCTATGATCTGGGCTCTTGTTTCAGCTGGTCGAAAGGAATGGCCTTGTGATACGGCAACAACGCCTTGCCCGAGGTGCCGGGCCTAGACATCCCGAGTGCGAGACACAGCCATGGATATTGAGTTGCACTCTGGAGGTGGGTAGTGCGGGTGGCTGTTGAGGGCGAGGTAAGAAAGCGTGACCATGGCTTGGCTTACCCATATGCGGCTAGCATGGCCAGCGCATCTACTCACCGCAACTAACGGACGCCCTATCAAACCTTGCGGCGTCCACATCCAACGTCAAGCCCGTGTTACAGTCGGCACGTTTGTCAGTCGACTTTGCTGTCGAGTGGATGGCTTTGGAGCATTCAAGGTCCAGCGGCCATGGACGCGAGTGCCGCGGCGCTTGCAGTCGCGGCGCTGGTATGGCTCGGCTGTGGCCCTCTGGTGGCCATTGTCCGCTGACATGACATGGCCGTCGTACACTGTCGAGTTTCCACGTTGCACACGCTTCACATGCTTCGCTTCATGGGCTTGGATACCCACTCGACCCGTCGAGTGGATGCCCTCGTGGGGAACAGATGGCCGCTGGTCTGCCTCTGGCCTGGCTGCTGCCCCCCATCAAGCCAGCCAATGACGTGGGGCGTGGCCAATGCCCAGCGATAGGTGGCCGGCTAGCTTGCACGGCCTACCGTCCGTCTATCCCGTTCACTGTCGGGCGCATCCCTGCGAGTGCTGGATAGAGGGCATTTAGCCTGTGGAGGGAATGACATCCATCTATGAAATGAGGGCCTTTGCAAATTGGGCAGGCCAGATTGCTCCGTCTCACCAGGTATGTACAGTAGTGGTGGTAGTGGTGGTGCGGTTGTGGGAAGGGGGAGGGGAGAGGATGACGAGTATCGTCAGCAGATGAGGGTGCCGCGGCAGTTGATTGTGTTTCAGAAGGAACGTGGCTGTCCGGCAGTGCAGTGCAGTACAGTGCAGCGGCGTGCAGTCAAGGTCAGTGCAAGCAGCATTTCATTTTATTTTTTTTGCTTTCTGCTTTTTCGTCCTATCGTGCAGTGTTTGGCTCTGACTCGCAGGCGCGCAAATCATACGTAGCAGGTGGGCGGAAGGCGCAGCACCGACTGCCGACAGAGGCCTACTAGAGGAGAGAGTAGTAGTAGGATGGTTTGAAGCTCCAACGTTTGAACTGTGCTCTTTCGGACTTTCAGTTGTTGGGACCTGTGTGTGGCCTGCGCTCCGCAATTACACGGTCCGGCGCCGCTTAGTCAAGGCGGGCGGTTGCAACGACTGTTCCCTATCAATTGACCTAGTTTGCCGGCGGTGCGCGTTCGAATATCTCCGGCAACGCTCAGTGGCCGCTAGATTCAGCCGTGTTATCCCCATCGGGAGGGCAGCCGATGCCTCAGGAAGCGACGCTGGCGAGGAAAAAGTAGGCGCCCGCTAAATTTGGAGCGCGACACCCTTGCGCGCCAGGCCGGCCGTGAGAGGGCGGGCTTGGAGGGAGTGGGGAAGGGTGGTGGACGTCGAGGGCCAGGCCGGGTCTTGGAGGGCAGTGGGTGGGCATGAGGAGGGGGCCGGCCAGCGCAGTGGCAGAACCAAGGGATCTGCTGGTGTACATGGGATCTGTCGTGGCCGCCGTGGATGCCATTGTGTGGTAGAGTGCTACGCTCGCTTGCGTGCATAATCGTCGCGGTATGGGCGGGCAGGCCTGTCCCTGTCAGCAGTCCTCTCCACCCCAGCGCCCGTGTCAACCGCACCGTCGGCGGATCAGCCCAGTCAGCACGCAGGCGACATGGCCGCGTCCGTGCACCAAGAGCGAGCGAAACGGCCTGCCTCTGACGGGATTGCTGCTGGCCCATGCCCGTCCATGCCCATGCTCATGCCCATGCCATGGTGCCCTCACGCTGTCCCCACCAAGCCCGATGTGAATTTAGATTGTGTGCTCGCAGCGGCTCGTGTGTGTGTGGTGTGTGGTGGGTGGTAGGTGTGTCTGTGTGTAGTCGTAGCAGCAGCAGCAGTAAGTATGTGTGCTGCTGCTATTGCTGCCATGCTATCCATCGCTGCTGCTATCGCTGCTGGCTGCTAATTGCTGCATCGAGTCCCGCCCCCAGGCCATCTCCGCCTCCCGTCCGTCATCTCTAGCCACTGTATGTACACCCTGTCCAGTCCTGCTGCTCTGCGTTCTGCCCTATCCTGCCTGTCCTGCCTGTCCTGATTGTCCCGTACCGCCCTCCGCCTGCATTCTTGCCCACGCACCCGTCTTCCCCCCTTCTGCATCATCAGCTGCTGGAGCCGCCGGCGCTGCAAATTCGCTCCGGCCCGTCGACGCAGCTACAGCGACAGCCTGCTCAGCCGGAACAACTTGTCAGCGACGCCCGTCGTGCACTGATCCCGTCCAAAGCATTGGACGCGCCGTCTCCAGAGAAAGCGGCCACTTTGCATCAGACTACTCTGCGGGGCGTGCGCTGCTCGCCTGTCCACCTCTGCCTCTTAGCTGCGGCCTGCCTGCTGTCGAGCGCTGCAGAGAATCCTGCAGCATTACCGACGAGAACGACTTCCTTCTCCACACCCACCACCGTCTTCCTGCCCTCGCCATTGTCTCGCAGTCTTCGCGTTTGCTCGTTGAAGAAGTGGTGAGTACACGCCCTTTGCACTCTGTCTTCCGCCCGTCTTGCTGCTCTGCCCCCTCTCCCTCCCCCCAAGACTCTTGCTAGCCGGACTCGCCACCTGCGTTTCCCGTGCACTCGCCTATCGGTCGCCTTGTCTGGTTGGGCCAGCACTAGCTAGCATCAAAGGGCACATCCCAACCACCTCCGCCTCAATACCTCCGCCTCCCCACCGCAGTCTGCGAAGAAGCCCTTCGCTCGCTCTGGCTGTTGCACCTCCCCCCTCCCCCATAGACTGTCGTTTTGCCGCCTGTACAGAGCCCTCTTGCTCTTCTGCTATCAAGTGTCGGCCAGTCCACCAGTGCTGACGCGTGTGTGCGCGCAGTAGTCTTTTCCGACGCTTGCAGCCGCTATCGCTATCGATACAGCTCGACCCGCATTAACGAAGCGCGACGACGTTACGACTGTTTACGACAACACTGCACTCTGCTCGACCCCGCAACACATGCTCGTAGCTTTTGCAGACATCTTCAGCTATTCTTCCAGGCCGGCATTTGTCAATTCGTCCCTTTGCGTGTTTTAAACCGAGCGCCAAAAGCATTGTCGACTACCCAGCACTTCCCTGCTTTACGACTGCAACGACGTAACGACTAGCTTTTCGAGACCCCAGCATTGTTTGCAGCGTTCACTTGATCCAGCAGCTTCTCGCGCGCATAGCCTTTTCCCGTCACGCCTGTTCGCAGCCGACTCATCCTGGTCAGTATTTCCACTCACCCTCACCCTTACCCTCTTCCTCCACGACCGTCACGACCACAAATCTCCTTCCACCGACCTCCCCGCTACCATGCTTCCCCACACTGTAGCCGTCAAATTTCTCCCTGTTTATTAGAGGCTTTGGTTTGTTTGTAGCCTCGTCTACCCGTGTCTCGTTGGTTCCCCACTGCAGTCAACCGATCAACCTCGCCATTCAAAGCAAACAACTAACTTGCGGTGTAGATTATTCGCTTCTTCAAACCTCTCGCCGTGTCAAACCTCTCGCCGCATCTTACAACACCTCGCGGGCAATCGTCACATTAAACACGTGCTTACCTTCTCAGCAATAGGCTCGGCTCTCTAAACAACTGACTCGGGAATCTTTGCGCCAAACTTCTCAACCCTGGACACCAACAAAGCTTCACTCGAGAACACGTCAATACCGTAAAGCTGGAGCTCCCATCGATCTCGTCGGTCCACGCTCGCGGCCCTGCTGACACTTGGTACCCATCCCATTACGCAACCAAACCTGCTGTTTCGGGCGAACGTCTTCCAGCTCTGCCTCAAATCCAATCACATCCAAGCTCGTCGTCAAACTACTCATCGCCTCGTGGTGATTCCATTAGCTCTGGTTCGGTGAGCGGTGGAAGTGCTAGTTCCAATACGTCGTACGCTGCGTCGGTCAACGGCCAGACTACCGGCTTCAAGACACCCTCTCCCAAACATACCCCCCAGTCTCTGAGACGAGATTCTCAATCTTTGAACACGCAGTCCGTCCAGAGCTCTCCGTTTGGCACCACCCAGGAGGGATACAACTTTGCTCCTAGCGGCTACAACAGCATGAACCAGATGCAATCGTATGCTGACGTGCATCAATCCCACATGGCCACTGCTGCTCACGCTCCAGCTTCGGCCCCTCCATCGGGGCTGTCGCACTACTCATACCCCCCACAGCCATCAATGATGCAATCTCAACATCAATACAGTCAAGGCCCGCCTGGATACCCGCCATACGGCTACCCTGGTGGCGTCCCTTCGCAGATCCCAGCTTCTTCATCTATGAACCAAGCTATGGTACCCTCAACACTCCAACTACCAGGTTAGTTTCTCTCCTCTCTTCATGGCATAGATACGAGGCTAACGTGTTCAGCCATGTCGTCTGGTGCACCAGCTTCATCGCTACCAGGCTCTCAGAGCTACCAGACACAGACCTTTGACCACACCGGTCAGGTTGCTCCTCCAGGAATGAAGCCTCGTGTAACTGCCACTCTCTGGGAAGACGAAGGCAGTCTTTGCTTCCAAGTGGAGGCCAAGGGCGTTTGTGTTGCGCGCCGCGAGGGTGAGTGGAAATTGCTCTTATAGAAAATCGGCTCAACTGACACGTTGTAGACAATCACATGATCAATGGAACTAAGCTTCTCAATGTCGCCGGCATGACGCGAGGTCGACGAGATGGCATCCTTAAGAGCGAGAAGACACGACACGTTGTCAAGATTGGCCCCATGCACCTCAAGGGTGTCTGGTTAGTCTTCACCTTATTTGTTAATCTTACATAAGCTTATCATGTCTTAGGATTCCCTTTGAGCGAGCCCTCGAGTTTGCCAACAAGGAGAAGATTACTGAGCAGCTGTACCCTCTGTTCGTTCATGACATCGGTGCACTGCTCTATCATCCGTCTAATCAGACGAGGTCAAGTGTAGGGAGCGCTGCCATGGCTGCTGTAGACCGCAACCGAAGACCTGACCCTATGCAGACTCATCAGCGATACCTCTCCGGACCAGCTGCGTCGCAGCCTCCGTCGCTTCACCACCATCATTCGATGAGCAACCCCATTGGAGCTGCTATTTCTCAGCCCCCGCACGCCATTCAGCCCCACCCATCATCTGGTCGCCCAGGGATTGACCGGGCCCACACTTTCCCTACTCCTCCCACCAGCGCTTCGAGCATCATGGGCATGGGCAACCAGGGAAGCTCCTATGAATGGAACGGTAACAACGTTCAAAACCCTCAGGGCGGACAGCCACTATCTATCGACACGGGACTAAGCAACGCTCGCTCTGTACCTACAACACCTGCAAGCACGCCTCCAGGAGCTGTCCAACAAGGCATGCCTTATGCACCTGGCCAAAGCTTTGATGGTTCCCGGCCCATGTACTCTGGTCCTCCTTCCCAGCCTGGCCAGTACACACAGGGACAACCAATGATGGGTTACCGCCAGGACGGTTCCTACCCAAAGACAGAGATGGCACCCCCATCTCGTATCAATGACGTACCTGACGAGGGTGAGGTCAAGCAACCCGATGGCATGATGCCCCAAGGCCACGAGCAGGTTGCACCGCCGCCGCAAGGTACCGAAGGCGAGCATGATCACGGCAATGAGTACACACACTCGAACGCTTCCTACAATGGCAACCGGGGCCCGTATGGATACCAGCCCAACGGCCCACCTGGAGCCATGCATCCCGATCACCCTCACCTCTCTCCCGAGATGACTGGCTCTCCTCACCAGAACGGCTCTGGACGTGCCACACCTCGTTCAGCTGCCACTGGCCAGCCGCAGTGGAGCTCGGGTTACCCTACTCCACAACGTCAAGCACCACCTTCCAGCAACCTTTACAACGTAATGAGCGATCCACGTGGTGCCCCGAATGGTAATGCCACCCATGATGCCTATCAAGGCCCTGGCGCTGTACCTCAGTACGCTACTCAAGGTTATCCTCCTACTAACGGTGTAAACTCGGGCAAACGTGGTCGCGATGACGACGAAGAAGATCCCTACCGCCCCGACAGCGTCCAGGGAGACGACATGAGTGGTCTCAAGCGTCGTAAGACTCTGGAAGGTGGCGCCGTCGGCGGACCATATGCCGACCCTACTCCTGGGCTACAGCGCGCGCATACGATGACAGCCCAGCGCGGTAGGCGGTAATGAAAGACTTTGCGCATTGTACGGGTGGCCAGTTGCCGTTTAATGGCTTAGAAGGCGGATTGGCCTCAATATACAGCGTTTTTCTGGCATCAAGCGAGCGGTCTCTTTCAGCAGCATCACAACATTCCACCACGACAATCTCGCCAGGCGTCTCTTCAACCAGCACGGAACAGGTTGAGATTGCGTACAAAACTCCAACCTCGCTCTCTTGAATTTCCTTCTGTCTACATTTCCTTGGAGATCTCTTTTTTCTGTTTCTTTCTTGTTTTCCACATTTTCTGCACCTCTCGGCATTCACGACTTTAACGACCATTTGCTTCGTGGAACCCAAAGTTCCAAAACACACACACACTATGTCCTGGGGCTCGAGCGAACCTCTTGATATACGACTTTTGCATGGGGCGTGAGCACGTGCAAGTCTTGTACATTCTACAGTCGCCTGGATTTTGTTTCTTTTGCAAGCTGGGAGTTCATGGGGATGTTGAGGAGGACCACGGCATTGCCACGTCAGTCGAGTCCCCACTTGGACCTGGGCCCAATTCCGCGAGGGTTAATATTGAAAAGACATACGTGGTGGTGGGAACGGACGGACGACGTGGGCAAAGCACCCTCATGGCTTTCTTTCAGCTTCAAAGACCAACGGCACGCCGTGCTGGACGAAAATGCGGGCGCAGACGAATTTGATGGATGTTTACGCAATGATGATATTTGCTTTGGCGGGCATCACGTTCTGAAGGGAAATTTCCAAGCCTTGTTTATTTGTGGCTAGGTGGTCTGATGGAGCTGCCATGAGCATATGGGGGGTAGCCGTGGACCATGTTGATTGTTTTTTTTTCTGGTGGAGGATGGGATGCACGGCTTTGGTGTTTATTTTGTTCAATGAGCCGGCGACCGGGACTTTTATGACGTTAATGAGGGAATTAAAAGCTCGTTCTACATTAATGCGTTGTGCTGATGGCAGTGTGTATGTGTCAGTGAAGTCTTGCGTGTGAGTTGTGCCGTCTGTGCGCTCTTGGGCTGCACTGGTCGATGGGCAACGAGGTACATAGATTTGGGCTTTGTCTGTGTAGTGTAACACTGGCTTGTCTTGTCTAGAGCAGGGCGTGCAGCCTCGCCGGCTATAGTGTTGAGACGGCCCACGGTGCGACCCGAAGCATTGCTCTAGCGGGTGGTGATGGTGAGGTGGCAATGGACACCGCCTCATGGGCGTGGGACTGGCGGCCCATGAGGCGGCCCAGCATGGAAGCCCAAAGGCTGGCCGGTGAGGCGACGGCAGGGCAGCCGGCTCGCATCCTATCGGTCTGGATGTGAGGCGTAAACGTAGACACACGTAGCAGACACCATGAAGTAGCAATCTCAGCATGGACATGGCCAGCACCAGTAAGTCACACCAAGTCACAGTACCAGCGACGGCAGCCTAATGCAGGGCTGCACATGTGACGTGCATACGTAAGCCGGCAGCGCAATATCAGGCTGCGAGGCATCGCCCCTCGAACGACGGGCCTTGGCAAGCCGCCCCACGTCGTCATCGGGTAAGCAAAACAAGAGGTACGAACTGGTCAAACGCGCAACGAGGCGGAGCCAGGCACTCAATTTGCCGCCTAGTATATCCCTTTGCTCCGCACCCGACTCTCCCGCCGACCTCTTCCTCTGCACTTTGCAAACATGAACATCATCAAACTGCAAAAGTACGTCGCACTCCCCCTCGTTTCCACGCCTGTCCGCCGCCTTCCACCCGTGCTAACATGCCATTGCAACCAGGAAGTATCCCCAGTTTGACCAGGGCGAGATCTTCGGCCTGCAAGACGCTTTCCGCAAGCTCGATGTCGACGACAATGGCTACCTCGACGAGTCCACAGTCATCAAGGCCGCCCAGCAGTCGGAGCACCAGCCTTACGATGTCGTACGACAAGCCCTGAAAGAGGTCGAGCTCGACTCCTCAAGGAGAGTAGAGCTCGACGACTACGTAGATGTATGCCACTGCACCACACTGCAAAGTCATGTTGGTCCTAACACTCCCAGCTCATCTCCAAACTGCGAGTCTCGTCTCCAGCCCAACAGCGCATGTCTACCGGCCCAACCCGCCCACGCGCCGGCACTGCTACAAGTGTCAACTCGCCCTCCAACCCAGGGCACGCCTCCAAAGGTAGCTTAGGTGGTGGCAGGATCCAGGTTCAGGGCTCCTCTGCCAATGTCACTCACACCATCAACGAGGATGAGCGAACCGAGTTTACGCGCCATATCAACGCCGTCCTTGCCGGCGACCCAGATATTGGCGACCGCTTACCCTTCCCGACCGACACTTTTGAGATGTTCGATGCTTGTAAAGACGGTCTAGTCCTGTCCAAGCTCATCAACGACAGTGTACCAGACACCATTGACGAGCGTGTGCTGAACAAGCCTGGCAAGAAGATCAAGGCGCTGAACAACTTCCACTTCAGTGAGAACATCAACATTGTCATTGAGTCAGCCAAGGGTATTGGTTGCTCGGTTGTCAACATTGGTAGTGGAGACATCATCGAAGTGCGAGAGCACTTGATTTTGGGTCTCATCTGGCAGATCATCAGGAGAGGTCTGTTGGGAAAGATTGATATCAAGCTACATCCAGAGCTGTACAGGCTGTTGGAGGATGACGAGACCCTAGAGCAGTTCCTGCGCCTACCTCCGGAGCAAATTCTGCTGAGGTGGTTCAACTACCACCTGAAGAACGCCAAGTGGCACAGGACGTAAGCCGGACTAGACTTTGTTTGAACGACAGTAATGGCTGACATTTGCAGTGTTACCAACTTCTCGACCGACGTCAAGGATGGCGAGAATTACACCGTCCTCCTCAACCAGCTAGCGCCCGAGATTTGCTCTCGCTCTCCACTTCAGCAGACTGACCTTCTCCAACGTGCTGAGATGGTCCTGCAGAACGCCGATGCCCTCGAATGCCGCAAGTTCCTTACCCCCAAATCGCTTGTAGCCGGAAACCCCAAGCTCAACTTGGCCTTCGTTGCCAATTTGTTCAACACACACCCTTGCCTCGACCCCATCACAGAGGAGGAAAAGGCCGAGATTGACGACTTCGATGCAACAGGAGAGCGTGAAGCTCGCGTCTTCACTCTCTGGCTCAATTCCCTCGACGTAAAGCCGGTTGTGCAGTCTTTCTACGAGGACCTCAAAGATGGTACCGTCATTCTTCAAGCATACGACAAGGTCATTCCAAGCAGCGTGAACTGGCGACACGTCAACAAGCCGCGCGAAGGTCAAGAATTGATGCGCTTCAAGGCTCTCGAGAACACAAACTACGCTGTCGAGCTTGGCAAGCAAAACCAGTTCTCGCTGCCTGGTATCCAGGGTGCTGATATCACCGACGGCCAGCGCACACTTACCCTCGGTCTCGTATGGCAGCTGATGCGCAAGGACATTGTTTCCACCCTCAACGATCTTGCTCAGCAGCTCGGCAAGCGTGAAATTGCTGATGCAGACATGATCAAGTGGGCCAACGACATGGCAAGGAAGGGCGGCAAGAACAGTCAGATCCGCTCTTTCAAGGACTCCTCTCTCAGCAACGCCATCTTTCTTCTCGATGTTCTGGCCGGCATGAAGCCTGCATACGTCGACTACGACCTCGTTGCCCCAGGTCGCAACGATGACGAATGCTACCAGAACGCTAAGCTGGCTATTAGTATTGCACGAAAGATGGGCGCTACCATTTGGCTTGTGCCAGACGACATTGTCGCTGTACAGAGCAGGCTTATCACCAGTTTTATTGGTAGTTTGATGGCCACGGCTGAAAAGGGCGGACAGTAAGCGGGTTGTGCTTTTCCAATGATGTCGTATATTTTTCTTTTGTACCCCTACGGAATGCGTAGATGATGTTATGCCTATTTTCTGGGGGAGGAACGTGTAAGCGTTACGAAAAAAAACAAGCGTCCATTCCTTAAGAGGCTATTTTTCGGCTGTCTTCAATGGAGGAAAATAATTAGCAAACTATTTATTTTTGGTACACTGATAGATATGCCATGTGTGAAGTGTGGTTTGAGTTGGTGAAGTTGAAGAATGTGATGTACTGGAGTGCGAGTTGATGCTACTTTTCTTGTATCGTTTACTCGATTCAGCCAGATAGGTCGGAAGGTATGGATATGTATGGTGTTCTTCTGTGATGTCTCGTATGGAAAAACAAGGCCAGTCGAGACTAGAGGAAGCAGATAACGAAGCGAACATTAAGTGAGAAACCGAACATAAGCAGTATCAGTATGTTAGCAACAAAAACACATGAAAAACAGTCTCCATCTATTGTGCTTCAAAGACCAACATCTCTCCTAGTAACCAAGTATGCTACCTCAATATATATCCTCCAACCCACCACCTATTCTTCCTTTAGAACTACGAAAGTCACCCCTACTACACCCTGTCTCTCTCAACCCATGCCACATCCTCCCCGGCACAACCAGCAGAAAACACAACCTCTTCTTCCTCACCACCACTCTCCCCGCTTCACCTCCAAAAAAACCTACCTACCTACCTACCTACCTCATGCCCCTCCCCACCTCCTATCCTTCACTCTTCATCCCTCTTTATTCCAAAAAAAGCCAGTTTACATAGCCACACCAACACAAAACCCATCATTACTCCCACCCCACCCTTCCCATACCAACCCCAACCCCCGGCAGGCAGTACCATTTTCCTTCCTCTCAACTTTGAAAGAGCTAGCTTGACTATTCTGCATCACATTGGGTTCTGGTATTGAAGTCTCTAGCCTCTAGCTCTAAAGGAAAAATCCACGAGATACAGAGAACTGGAGATCTTAACCCCCCATCTCAACGGAGAAAGAGAGAAAAGAGAGAGAGAGAGAGAGAAAGAAAGATCAACGGTTCGAAGTAAAAAGTAAGAGAATACGAGAAGTGCCCCCCCCCC